TGCAAACTTTTTCTTTGGGGATTTCCTAAATAAGTTTTTTTTTTTTTGCAGTTTATAAATAAGAGGCCTCTTTAAGAAACTAATAAATAATTCAGACGTGTAGAATTATTTAGTAGATTATTATGCAACCGTTAAATAAAGATCATCCATATAAGATATTAATAAACCAACCAATCAATGTAAGATGTCAAAAATACAAACTAACCACCAATACATCCATATCAGATGTTAATAATACTAACTGGAGTCTAATACAGAATTATATAAATCTAAATAGAAAAAAAGCCATATATGGTGCAACGCTCTTCAACTAAAATATGAAAAAAAAAATCATTATCAAATTCCAAAGTTTAACTAAATTGTAAGATATAAGCTAGACTATGTCTACAATTTACCGTTAATTCACCCCTTTGATTTAATAAGGAGTTCTATACAATCTGATAATTTCCAATTTTTCATGTAAACACAGGAGACATGGTTCATATAAAGATCTACGTATTTTTGCCATTTTTAAAATTTCCATTTCACCATAGGAGATTTTTATCAGCTTTAAAAACTCCAAAAAATTTAGAAAGTGATGTATTATTTCTGTAAGTACTATTGGTGAAGGACAAGATATGTTGATTATTCCTAGTCTTAAAAGAGTTCTTAGTACTACCGATATGGAATTTTTCAACCGTTAAATTTTCTATTGTAGAGATAGTACTTAGATAAACAAGAGATTTAGTTAAATATTTGTTTGGTAATGGGCATTGGTTAGAATTCCTACAATTTCATTGGCTAGTATCATTAATAATATTTGTCTTGGAGCGTACATTTCGATCCAGATTATTAAATTGATTTAAAATTTTATTATTGTGCAGTTTTATAATCTTCTCAAGATTATTGTTGCAGCTGTAACTTAGTTTTAATGTGTTTCTATCAAATATTTGACTAAGAGGGTTACTTTTAGGGAAATGTTTATCAATTAGATGGAGAAACTTCTGGCCTAGCTTAATAGTGACCAAATGGTTAAATGGTAGTGTGTACCAAATGATCTTCCTATTTCTATTTCTTTTCTTTAGACCAGTATCATCATATTAAAAAATAGCTATGAATGATAGGAAATCCAATATATATATATATATATATATATATATATATATATATATATATATTTTTGGTTGGATAGATGTGAGTTTGTGACCCTGGGTTTCACGCTTTAGCGATCGTCAGATAAACTGATTAATGTTTTAAAAAATTTGAGTTTATGTAGATTGCGTGTATTGGTGTTATTGTGGAAGTGGTGGGGGAAACTTCGTCGTTTTGTCATTCATCGTACTAACGCAAACATCGATGTATGCAGACACATATACATACTTGGTCGTCCGTCGGGACTCATACATATATAAACATATGTGGGCATTTTCGGCTATGACATATGTATGTATACGGGTGGTGTTATGTCTATACATACGCATTTGTATGTTGAAATGTTGAAATTTAAGCATTGAAAGTGTGGCGGAAATGTCTCGTTAATGTCTCGTGAATGTATACATGTCATATTATGTATTTTTCCGCTGAAAAATATTTCTTCGCATGTGTGTATATACGTGTGGTGGGGTTTGTGTAAAATTATGATAGGTAAAAATTATTATTATTTATATTTATTTTTTTAAATTTTTGAAAAAAAAATCATCTATCCAACCAAATATGTCAGCTCTATCTCTGATATTGAGTGCTTTCTAATAAGTACCGAGCATATAATATATAAATAATTATACATATATATATTTATTTATATATATACACTTTTCACATATATATATATATATATATATATATATATATAGTAATGTTTATTTGGGCACCAACCTTTCTTTTAAGCATCTTTCAGTGGAAACGGCCGACAAGGAAGATTTATTTAATCTTTTATTGAGTTTTTTTTTTTTACACCGTTTAGCATTGGAGACGCAGTTTGAAAGGTTTTCTAAAAATAGAAGTGATACCTAAATTAACCAGTCACGCATAACACGTGTCTGCCAAAAAAAAACAAAAACACGTCCTGTCTGCATGTTATCCACACAGCTATACTACTACTATATAGAAGTTAACACACGAAATACACCATCCAAAAACAGCATCCTTGATAATATCTATAGAACTGGCTGAAAGCGCTCGTAACAATATAACTATGGACAATTCCTATATTCTTTAACCCCTGAATAACAGAAACGCGTTAGAATGCTGTAAAAACTCAATAAAAGATTGGATCTTCCTTGTCATCCGTTTTCATTGAAAGATACATGAATGAAAGGTGGCTGCCCAAATGCACATTAATTAAATTACATGACCCGGAAACCAACAAGGAACATAACACCAGCACATTACGAAAAAAAAACCCAAAAATTCCTCGTCGAACGGAACAAATAAAAGCCAAAGACAGGATAGTGCAGCTTAAAACCGAAATCCAAAAATATACGGATATTCTCAAAAACACAATCAGCGCAACAGAATAAACAGCAACCGAATGTTACCTTGTTCAGCTCAACAGTACATTAGAACTCAACAACAAAAAACAGTGTTACTAAAAAATATCTGCAACTTATACAAGGGAAAGATTGTAATACCCAATGGTAAGTTTAATTTTAGAAAGTTGTCCGATCACGAACTCATCGACAATCAAGCCGAATTCCTGAATATCGGCCCGAATTGTCCCCTCTAACCTAGATATGACCCTCTCCAATGAAAACCGAAATCGAAGTTCTATACCATTCTATCCAACAGCTCAAAACAGAAAAATCAATTAAGGTGCAGGCAAATCTAAAAGACCTAAAAGGAAAAGGCCTAAAAATACTGTTCATCACACAGCCAACACAACAATGTCCTTACAAATTCAAATCGGACGTTTGAGAATGACGCGACAAACCCAATATTGTTATTAGACGCGCTGATAAAACGAAGAAGTACGTGGCTCTCAAACGACAGGACTATAACCAGAAATGACAATACATCTGAGACAACACAACGAAACTCACCAAATTAAGGGGAAAAGAAAACACAGAAACATTAAAAAAAAAGCATGTGAATAAACTAATCAAAGCGAACAACGCTGATGTTGATAATTTAAAAATCAAGAAAATAGTTGACAATTTCCCAACCGAGATGTATGTATAATAATATAAAAACTCATAAACTACGTTTTCCTCTCCGACATTTGATATCCCAAATACCTACATTTGTATACCTACTAACAAAATCTCTCAACCTCATAATTTCTCCATGCACACCCAACAACAGCATAATATCAACTAATAAACTCCTCTGCATCTTGAAAGCAGGAAATCCCAGAGGAGATACTATGGCTTCGCTGGACGTTGAAAACCTCAGTTGAGGAAAACAATCAACATAATTAAACACCCGACAACATTTCCGACAAAAATCCGACCTGCTATCCTCCAGAAACTACTCCTCACTTGTACCATGAAAGCTCCATTCTATGACCATAATGGCAACACTTATATCCAAAGTAACGGTGTGAGCATGGGAAACCCTTTAGGTCCTGCTCTCGCTAACTTTTATATTTTCTACATTGAAAACAAAGTATTTAAAACAACCGATAAACATGAAATCTACATAAGGTACGTGGATAACATCCTCGTTTTGATAAAAAGTAAAGATGAAATCGCAAACCTAAAATCAACTTTTGAAAAGAACTCAACACTAAAATTCGTATACGAACCTATGGTAAAAAATAAGATCCTATTCTTCGATGTTGATGTGAATTTAGCACTTATTCGTATAAAAAACAACTAGGATGAACTCTTCTTCTAAACTATGATAGCCAATGTCCGGAAAGATATAAGATAGCAGTGATAACAAACATCGTAAATAGAGCATACCAAAATTCCTCTTCTAAGCGAACTGGAACATATAAAACAAACACTCATCAACAATAACTTTCCCAAATATATCATTGATAAGCAAATAAAATTATTCTTACAAAAATACACGACACCAGTAAAACAAAACATCAACTTAGTTTATCGCAACCAGATGCATGGATATTGTAAGCAGGATGAATTTTTCTATAGGGAAATTTTCTATAGGGAAAATCATTAAACACCATATTTCTGCTGTAATCCCTGAAAAACACATAAAGTTCATAATATATTATACAAAATGGAAGAGAGCAAACGTTGTCGTCACCTACCAAAATAACCCCACCAAATCTAAATTAGAGGTGATCAATATAGTGTACCAATTTCAATGCCCAGTACAAGACTGTGTTACTTGTCAAAAATCAATTAACTATATCGGACACACCACTACTTCCTTAAGTAGATGTCTTACATGTCACCTTTCGAAGCAGAACGCGATTAATAAACATTTATTAACTCATAATTTGCAAGAACCTTTAAGGAAAATTCTAGTCGATAACACGGAAATTCTTTTCATTTCACATAGTTGTAGACAACTCATTATTAGGGAAGCACAGCTGATTAAATATTCTTCTATTATCAATCTTACGCTGTTTAGCAGTGGAGACTCCGGGTTAAAATTTTTCTACAGATAGAAGTGATGCTCAGATCAACCGGTCGTGCATAGCACGTAATCGTCGAAAAAGCATAAACGCCCCCGCACGTACACCACGCAGTTAAACTACTATGTATAAGGTAACACAAAATTCAATATCCAAAAAACAACATCCTTGACAATTTCTATAGAACTAGCCGAAAGCGCTCGGAACAATTATAACTATGGATAATTTCTATATTCTTTAACCTCTGAAAAATGGAGAAAAAAATGTTAGAACGTTGGAAAAACTCAATAAAAGATTAATTAAATCTTCCTTGCCGATTGTTTTATATATATATATATATATATATATATATAGATAGATAGATAGATAGATAGTGTTATAGTGGAACACACCTAGTCTATAGTTAATAGACTCTCCCACCTATAATAAGTAGGAGTAGTAAGAGTAACGAGAGAGTCGCTTAGTGGGGTTCGGTCAGTCAGTCGATGTCGGATATCTCCAGACTCTCTCCCGTTTGAATGCCTAGATAGATAGATAGATAGATAGATAGATAGATAGATATGCGTTTGAATGCACTGGAAAGAATAGATAGATAGATAGATAGATAGATAGATAGATAGATAGATAGATAGATCGCGTTTGAATGCACTGGGAATAGATAGATAGATGATAGATAGGATAGATAGTCCGATCGATGTAGATAGATAGATAGATGAATGATAGATATGCGTTTGAATGCACTGAGCGATAGATGGATAGATGGATGGATAGATGGATGGATGAATGTGCGATGCATCCTTATTAGATGGATATGCGTTTGAATGCACTTAATATAGATAGATGATAGATAGATAGATCTATAGATAGATGGATATAGAATGCACTGGGAAAGAATAGATATAGATAGATGAGATAGATAGATAGATAGATAGATAGATAGATAGATAGATATGCGTTTGAATGCACTGGGAAAGAATAGATAGATAGATAGATAGATAGATAGATAGATAGATATGCGTTTGAATGCACTGGGAAAGAATAGATAGATAGATAGATAGATAGATAGATAGATAGATAGATATGATTTGAATGCACTGGGAAGAATGATAGATAGATAGATAGATGGATGAATGGATAGATGATGATAGATATGCGTTTGAATGCACTGGGAAAGATGGATATAGATATAGATAGATGGATATAGATAGATGGATGATAGAAGAATAGATAGATGATAGATATAGATATAGATGGATAGATAGATAGATAGATATAGATAGATATAGATAGATAGATAGATAGATGCGTTTGAATGCACTGGGAAATGAATATAGATAGATAGATAGATAGATAGATAGATAGATAGATAGATAGATAGATAGATATGCGTTTGAATGCACTGGGAAAGAATAGATAGATAGATAGATAGATAGATAGATAGATAGATAGATAGATAGATAGATAGATAGATAGATATGCGTTTGAATGCACTGGGAAAGAATAGATAGATAGATAGATAGATAGATAGATAGATGGATGGATTGGATAGATAGATGATAGATATAGATAATGCGTTTACGAAAACTTTGAATGCACTGGAAAAATAGATATTTAAATGAGTTTTGGTGCAAAGATAAATGAATAGATAGATTGCGCGTTTGAATGCTGGGAAAGATTCTGTGATAGATAGATAGATGATAGATGTTGCGTTTGAATGCACTGGGAAAGAATAATAGATAGAAGATAGATAGATAGATAGATAGATAGATAGATAGATAATTGAATTCGGAATAGATAGATTTTTTAGATTAGATAGATAATATGCGTTTGAATTTGTAGATAGGATAGATAGATAGAGATAGATAGATAGATAGATATGCGTTTGATGCACTGGGAAAGAATAGATAGATAGATAGATAGATAGATAGATAGATAGATAGATAGATAGATAATGGTTTACGAAAACTTCTGAAAAAATAGTTATTTAAATGAGTTTGGTCAAAGATAAAAGTGTTGCGCATTCTGTGAAGATCGTGTAGCGTTCTTTAAATATAACCAATGGGAAGAATAGAAAACCGTTTGGCGGAGCTTATTGTGCCCTATTAATGTACCATAGATGGCGGGGAGAATAGAATGGAGCATTGCCTTTTCTAAGTTTATTAGTGCGAAATGAACCCGACAATTTAAATTTGCCTGCCTCCAACTGATTTCTTTTTCTATGAAAATTTTGATCATAGTGTGCAATCCAAAGTAGACCCATGGGCATATAATCCTAGGAAAAATAATATGTCTAAACGGACTCCGTTTAAACTTCAAAAGGGCGCTTAGGTGTTGTTTTAACGGTTATTGAGGCACGTCTGGTTGCCAGTTACTATTGAATGGGAGAGACAATAAAAAATACACTTTGAAATGAATGCTCGCTCTTTAAACGTCAAGAGGTGGCAAGGGGGGGGCATTGGTCTTGTCTAATAGCATGTCAGGTTAATATGGTTGACAATAATGTGTAGAGAAATGAGCTAGAATTCAGTTTCAAATCTTTACACTGGATTCTACGCAATTGTAATATAAAATGTAGGAAACTAAAAATATACAAAGAACGCATAATCCAGCCTCTTGTCAGATTGCAAAACTGTTGTAACCTACAAAATGTTACTGAATGAGGAATAACCAAAACGGAGGTTGGAAATGAAAAGGTAATCTTTATAACATCAACAAAATACAATACTCACCAGCGGCATGAAGTAGGTAAACCACTGCTAGTGGTGGACCACTTAGACAGCATATTACCCCCACTTACAATAGTGTCCAACGTATTTATAAGGAGTGAGACATGCCCATTAGTGTTCAACAGGCATATAACAATATCTATCTATCTATCTATCTATCTATCTATCTATCTATCTATCTATCTGCAATTTTTTCATATCGATCTATCTATCTGCAGTCTCTTCATGTCTGTTCTAACCTAGAAAGGATTACTGAATGAGGAATAACTAAAACGGAGGTTGGAAATGAAATGGTAATCTTTATAACATCAACAAAATACAATACTCGCCAGCGGCGTGAAGTAGGTAAACCACTGCTAGTGGTGGACTACTTAGACTGCATATTAACCCCACTTACAATAGTGTCCAACGTATTTATGAGCACTGGGACACACTCTTTAGTGTTCGTAGGTACCGTATATAACAATATCTATCTATCTATCTATCTATCTATCTATCTATCTATCTATCTATCTATCTATCTGCAGTCTTTTCAGATCTATCTATCCACAGTCTTTTCAGATCTATCTATCTATCCGGAATCTTTTCAGATCTATCTATCTATCTATCTATCTATCTATCTATCTATCTATCTATCTATCTATCTATCAGCAGTCTATTCATGTCTGTTGTATCCTAGGAAGGGTTACTGAATAAGGAATAACCGAAACGGAGGTTGGAAATGAAAATGGTAATCTTTATAACATCAACAAAATAAAATACTCACCAGCAGCATGAAGTAGGTAAACCACTGCTAGTGGTGATCTACTTTTGACAGTATATTACCTGTATTTACAATACTGTCCAACGTATTTATGAGGATTGGGGCATACCCATTAGTGTTCATATGTACGATATATATAAAAAAAACAATAGGAACAGAAACTGGAATAAAATTCAATTAATTCGTTTAGCTTCTTCTCATCAAATATGATAATATAGAAGAAAGTAATAATTCCTAATAGACCATACATTAAATTATAACAGAAAAAAGCGCAAGCTGTAAATCCACAAAGCACACATAACCTCTAGGCAGGCGGAGAATGAGTTCGATCCTTACTGAATACAGTATAATGTCCAATAAGCCAACAACGATAGTTCCCCTGTAAAATCAATGAAGTGAATCTAAGCTTTTCCAGGTGTCTCTTCTAATCCACAAAATTTTAAACATAACTATCCCAACCCACTACGGAAAGGCAATTTCAATATGAAATCAAGCCTTGTGTTATTCGGCTGGACAGGTGAAGTTATCTGGCAAACGAGACCTACAACCCGTAAACAACAATGATTCCATTTTGTGATGTTGGGTGGGACTGCACAGGAAATTAACAGGAAGGCGGGATCATTGTCAGATATTAAGGTCACTCTTCGGGGTCAATCAGATGTCACATTAACCGGCTTTGAAATCTAGCCACAGACAGAGGAAGGAAGATATGGCGCTGTATCGTGTGGTCTGGTGCCCCTTTTATTTGACTGTTGAAATTAAATCAGGTAAGTCAGACAGACAGGTAAATTGTTTTGCTGGAGGGAGGAGGAACAGAGAAAGCGAAATGAGCAATACGTGGTCTGTCCGGAAAGCTTCTAGCATATCTGTCTATATTTTTGAGATGACGTATTGTAACTATTTACAATATTTACATCATTGGATGAAAGTATCTGTTAGGATCCAAGATAATAGTAAATGCCAAAACTGGTGTAAAAACACCATGAAAGTGTAGAAATACATTTTTAGAGTAAAGGTGCCACCAATACATTTATTACCACCACACGTTTTTATAAGAAAAAAGAAAAATTGTCGGCAATACAATTTTGTAAAATAATTACTAATGCTCCTAAGGAAATTAAATTTTGACAGTAAATGACCCATAACAAGTTAATATGCCGTTAAACAATCAAAAAGACAAACAATCATCTTTATTGCACTGTTCACAACATTTTGGCTGTTGTATGCTCCGACCTTCTTCAAGTGGTATAGGTTAGAATTTCTAACCGAAAAAAATATTTAGTCTATGGGGGTATATTGTTCTAATTCCACGTGCCATGTCTCTTTCTTTTTTTTTTTTTTTTTTTGGGGGGGGTAAGGGGGCGTTATCTCAGTTTAAGTTAATTCTCTCTAGTAACTCAACTCTCCATGTTTTGGTTCTCTCTGCTGTGGCCAGGTATTGAACACACAAACTCTTTCGGGCAAGTCCCTTTTTAGAACAATCTACCCCCATGGACTAAATAAAGAGTTTGGTTCAAAATTCTAGCGTATAGCACCTGAAGAAGACCGGAGCGTACGACGTCCGAAACGTCGTAAATATGTCAATAAAAATATGAACAACAGTCTGTAGTGTAAATAGTTAACATAGTCTAACTCGAGTAATGGCGTCTTAGTCCTCTTCAAGACTTCTTTTCGTACTTTATGCATTAAACCCACGCCTCTTTCACTTTTTAAAAATATTCTGCCAAGTTCTTCTTTCGCGGTTTCCATCAGCTACTACATTGTTTTCTCCTTAATCTCATCCACGATTTGAAATCTCTTCCCTTTAAACGGCGATTTTAGATTTAGGAAAAAGCTCTAAGATGTGCAGGCAGTGGTTAGGGTTAGAGACTCGGAACAAGGAGTCGGCAAGCCGAGTTCGAATTTCAGGCGAGTTCGTTGCATTCACTCCCGCGCAAATAATAGCTATAGGTTAAATAGTAGTACAGACTGGGGTCTTTAGCCATGGTTGGTAACCAGTCTAGAATAAGGACAACTCTGAATTTCAAACCGGTTTGTCATAGGGCTTACAACTCCATTCTGTAACAATCTGCTACGAATACCACATCAGCAACGTCTAGCGTGTTGACGAACCGGCTGTGAAATCTAGTTACAGACAGATTAAGGCAGTTATGGCGCTGAATACTGGGGTCTGATATCACATACTCCTCAATGGTTTTGAATGACTGAGTGAGAAACCGCAGACAGCCAAACCGGGAGTGCAGTGAGGATGGTAACAGACCTTGGTGATGCTATGTTTGACAAAAAATCTAGCAGGAGAAATGAAGTGTTTGTCTCAGTCAACATGAATGTGATGGTCCCCTCAATGGCGTCTCATTGTCGACTGAGAAAATCCACAGAAAAATTCTGCCTGATTCTTATAGTTATATCAAGACCGCGTCACCGATTCGCGAGATCTCCAAACTTGAGATCGTATGACATGACATTCCATATATAGGACAAGGCATAGCACCCTTTGTTTAGGCTGCTGGAACGCTAGAGTAATGTTGAGTGCTCTGCCTCGTAATACGTACATGTTCATTGCGTGATCTCTCAAAAGATGTAATGTCTTTCATGCACACACCCCTCCACTTGATACGACACACACACACACACACAATATATATATATATATATATATATATATATATATATATATATATATATATCAAATTATATCAAATCACCTGCATCGGAAAACTATCGTTTGTTTTTATTTATTTTATTTTTTCTTTTCGGTTCCTGGCCGCTGTCTTTGTGAATATTGTTCTCCTCTCTCTTTCTCTCTCTCTCTCTGGCCATTTCTTTTCTCTTTCTCTTCCTATATCTCTCTCTTCCCCCCTCTCTCTCTTTCTTTTCTCTCTCGCTTTTCTTTTTCTCTCTTTTTCTTTTTCTTTATATGTCTCTTTTTCTTTTTCCTCTCGCCCTCTCTCTTTTCTCTCCCTTTCTTTGTCTCTCTTTTTCTCTCTATCTCTCCCTTCTTTTTTTCTTTTTCTTTGTCTGTCACTCTTTTCTCTCTCTCTTCTATCTCTTTTTTCTTTTTCTCTCTCTTTCTCTGTCTCTCTTTCTCTCTCTTTCTCTTTCACTCTCTATTTCTCTCTCATTCTCTTTCTCTCTCTTTCTTTCTCTCTCAGAGAGGCAGAGAGACAGTAGGACATATGTTGTAGATGTTGAATGGTTGAGAACAGCATGTTACTTGACAAAAACGTGAAATAATGTTCACAAAGAAAGTAACCAATAAGAGAAAAGAAAACCTTCGCAATTATAAACAAAAGACAGATTGTCGACGCAGGTGATCTGATATAATGTAGTTTTAGGAGCAATAACTTTACACCCCATCCACCCCTACAACCACACATACATACACATATATATATATATCAATATAAATGCATATATATATATATATATATATATATATATAAACAATAAATTAAACAAATGGCTTTTGTAGAAATTGACGTCTTAGCGTAGTCTGACATCGAGACACAAAAGTGCAATTCCGTGTAACGAACGATTTCATTGCACTCCTATATATCTGAAAAATGTGTATCCTAGGCAAGAACGATAAAGAAGTCCGGTCGGCATAAAAATCAACGTAACTTATATAATACACTAAGTGTTTTCATATATTT